AAATCCCTCATCTGAGGCACTCAACTGTTTCATGAGTGACATTTGATCACCGTGCAAGCTAGGGGACCAAGGGAGGTGGGGACTGATTGTGGGTTTGCTAACCTTCTGCAGGGAGCAAACCAAAAATCCCCGCTCAACCCTGGAAGCTTGATATTTTCACATCTGTAAGAACCTATTGTGTTATCCAAGCGTTAATCAAATTCTAAATGGCTTTCTTAGATTTGTTATTGAGGTAACACATCAGTGTGTCTTTCTGGTTGACGTGAATCAACAGGGACCGAGATGCGAGTCATCCTTATAAATTATTGTATTCAATTGCTAAAAAAGTCAGATTAGCCTTCTGTATAAAGTAGATATCATTATTACAAGGTCATTACGGTGGCCCTGGGGAGTGGATGATACTTCAGAGGATGAATTAACCTCAAACGCTGCCTCACCTTCATCTATCTCCGTATGCCTCCTCTTCCTCCATTAAAGTCTCAGACAAGGAATACCTGTTGAATAAGCTATACCCACGACTCAGAAGATCCCAATATGGATGCATCAATTTATGGAACAGTGGAATAATATTTAGCAACTAAATAGACCCTGCTGCATGCGTCTCACAATCCCTCAGATTATTACAGGCACATCCAGCTTTCCCTAGATGCAAGTTAACTACATCATTGTAGGTCTGGAGTCATAAATAGGGCAGGCAAGGTAAGGACAGCAAGATTCTTTCCCAAAAAAGCATTAGTGAACCAGATCAGATTTTACAACAGTTTATTACTGAGTTAGGCTTCACATTCCAGTTTCTTTTAAATTTAATTTAAATCTCACTCACTGTCATCGTGGGATTTAGAACCCATATCCCCAGGATTACGAGCTGAGTGACATTAATACTATGCCACCATCTCACCTTTATCCAGCCTTAATCCTTGTTCTTCTTAATTATTTTCTCAGACTTCAAGTAGACCAATTCCTCAAGTAGACATCAAAGCTGCCTGCAAGAATCTCACCTATTTGTTCCTGTAAAAGCAAAAAAAAAGCTTTTCTCTTAACTGAATTTAACTCCCCTAGTAGATATGAAATATGAATATTGATCCCATTATGAACATTGTAGTGTCCCTTTTTTAAAAGAAAAAGGAACGCTGTTGTCTTGTGTACACCTCTCCCCTCACATGGGTGTTCTGGCAAGGCCAGCATTTATTGCCAACCCTAGCTGACCTTAAGAAGGTGGTGGTGAGCTGCCTCTTGCATCGCTGCAGTCCATATGCTGTAGGTAGACCCACAGTGGCATTAGGGACAGAACTCCAGGATTTTGATCCAGCAACACTGAAGGAACGGTGATATATTTCCAAGTCAGGATGGTGAGTGTCTTGGAGGGGAACTTGCACATGGTGGTGTTCCCACGTATTTGCTGCCCTTGTCCTTCTAGATATTTCTTCTGGATAGTAAACCGTATATAGTATATACAGCACACGCTGCTGCTATTGAGCGGCGGTGGTGGAGGGAGTGGATGCTTGTCGATGTAGTGCCAATCAAGTGGGCTGCTTTGTCCTGGATGGTGTCAAGCTTCTTGAGTGTTGTTGGAGCTGCACCCATCCAGGAAAGTGGGAAGTATTCCAGCACACTCATGACTTGTGCCTTGTAGATGGTGTACAGGTTTTGGGGAGTAAGGAAGTGGTTACTCATTACAGTATTTCTAGCCTCTGACCTGCTCTTGTAGCCACTGTGTTTATATAGACAGTCCAGTTCAGTTTCTGGTCAATGGTAACCCAGAGATATTGATTTGGGTGGGGGAAGGGGTGTGTGATGGGTGCTTACAGAATGGCTTCGCTACAGCATTACCAATCTTGGATCCACTGTTCAATCTGATGATACTCGTTCTGTCAAAAACAGGCTTGTCAGCCACCAAAGAATTCATCATGGAAAATAAGAAGACATTCTGTCTACCTTCTTCTCAAAGAATCCCTATAGTGTGGAAGCAGGCTATTAGACCCATCAAGTCTAGTCCACCCCTCCAAAGAGCATCCCACCCACACCCGTAACGTTGCATTTACCATAGCTAATCCTTGGATACTATGGGGCATTTTAGTATGGCTTGTCTACCTGTACACCCATGGATTTTGGAAGGAAACTGGTGCACCCAGAGGAAATCCATGCAGACATAGGGAGAATGTGTAAACTCCACACAGAAAGTCACCGGATGCTGGAATTGAACTCAGGGCCCTGGAGCTGCGAAACAACAGTGCTAATCGCTGAGCCACCGTGATGCCCAAAATATTTACACCAATCAGTGATAGCTGTCACGAGATCAGCTTTCAGATTTTATTAGATTCAAATTATAGCAGCTGCCCCGGTGGGATTTGAACTCACATGCAGATGTATGTATCTCAGTACCCCACAGTGATGCATTCAGTCACTGGGCCAATGGTCAAAGACACAGACTCTAATAACTCTATGGAGAAAATGAATTGACCAATAATAGACTAGTCGACACAGACTCATTTCTCATTCCCTGCTTCAATATGGGTTCTTTCGTTTTATAATGAAATCAGTATTCCTGGATATTTGAAAGGGCTGATGTAGTTACAGCCAATTCTGTGGACCTTATTGACTCCCCTTCGGCAGGGGCTTTCCCTAATTATAGTGACAGCAATATCTTATAAATTAAAAAATTCATTTGTCTCCTCCTACATTACCATTGGAAATCACCAATCTGAAGGTTTTGTCACATTAGAAGCATTCTAAATGATCTTGATGGATATCAGTGCATTTCAAACTGCCTTCAAAGGCATTTGATGCATGGAGAAATAGGTTATTACTCATCTTTGCTGAGGATTGGGACATCACTATGTTTATTTGGACACTAGTGATAAGTAACTTCTGTCAACTTCAGCAGTAAAGTTTGATTAATGACTATAATGTTTGGAGTTGCTGGAGGTATGAATAAACTTCATTCATATTGCATAGAATTAAGTCTATTCAATTGTCAATGGTAAACAGAGAATTGTTTACTCATGAAGTGGTTCTCTGCAATTTTGTTTGCAATGTGACCAGCTTAGTAATGAGCTGCTAACAAGGAGTTGCTCCCTTTATGCACATCTCAATCTTTCATATTTGTTTAATTCATTTTAAGTTTGAGAATTCCTCTTTAAGACATTAACATCAATTCAATTACATATAAATGCAACTTGATAGCTGTTCTGAAATGTGACAGAGAATACAAGCACTCTTAATGGCGTAATCAAAATTTTGCAATGTTTTCTTAACTGCCAAATAATAGTGGAGTGTATTTAAGGAAGACCTTACTTTGTAAAGTGCCTCTGATCATAATGTTATGATCAAGATTTTGTTTATCCCCATCTTAATGAGGAAGGGTCACTCGACCTGAAACGTTAACATTGGTTTCTTTCCATAGATGCTGCCAGACTTGCTGAGCTATTCTAGCAATTCCTGTTTTTGTTTCTGATTTATAGCATCTGCAGTTCTTTTGGTTTTTATTTAATATCTTCCTATGTGCCTCGGTGTCAAATTCTGTGAAGCACCTTGGGGTATTTTAATAATTGTAACGGTGTTGTATAAATCTGGTTGTTGTTAGCTAATTAATACCTTTGAACTATATTAATTGTGAAGAGTTAAGTGACAAGATACAAGACAGAGGTGGCTAATCTATTAGGGCAATGAAATTTTACCCCTAGCTCAGTTGATGTTCACAACTTGGGACTGCACTCGAGTTCCACTCGTGTTTGAAATACAACTGAAAACAAGGCTGATGCTCCAGTGTATTACTGAGGGAATGCTGCACTATGCAGTAAGGCATTAAACTGAGGCCCCACTTGTCAGCTTGGGAAGATGGAGAAGATCTCATGGCACCAAGAAGAGCCATGGAATTACACCTAGGTATCCTTACCAATGTTTATCAATATCCCTCAACCAAAATCACTGCCGAATTTAAAAAAAAATAGATTTTCTGGATATTGTCATGTTGCTATTTGTGGGAATTTGCTGAGAGCAATTTGGCAGTAGTCCTTCCGGAATTGCTACAGTGACTAGACTTCAAAGGGACTTAATTAGCTGTAAAGAGTCCTGAGACGTCCTGTGATGGTTAAAAGTGAGTCAAAGATGATTTGCTGTTACTTAGACGAGAAAATATCTGCTATAATGAGAATGTAGCATCAGTTACTGGCTGGGGTCACAGCTATCAATTGCGAGAGTCATTTTACGCACAATCTATCAGGCCCATAAAGCTGCCAACATTAAGGAAATGTTAAGAGCAAGATTTACGTAATTAGTGACAACCCATTTGAAACATATGGAACTGGTTGCAGACCAAGATACTTCGCACGACTAAGATTTATAATCAGCAAACGTGGCATGGGCAGAGAACTCATTGATAACCGTCCGCGTCCGCCGTTATTTTCGGTGGAGAGAAATGAATAAAACCCCACCGCTTCCGGATCGGGGCTGCGGTTCGCTGATTTCCCACGGCGGTTCCCGACCCGAGGCTGTTCGGCTATCATCGGGATCCGACTCGGCGGTAGCTCGGCAATTTCCGCCGCCCATTGTGTCGCGGGTGAGCGGACGCTTCGGACCTTTCCGTCTGCCCATAGTAGCGGTGGGTGAGAGGTTGGAGGCGGGGACGGTTCGTTTCGGCAATTCCCGTCACGCGCGCGCACACATTGGCTGGTGGCGCGTGTCGGCGGGGGGGGGCGGGTTCGGCGATCTCCGTCACGCCGGGCGGCTGGTTCGGTAGTCTCCGTGAGCTGGGTGGCGGACTCGGCTATTTCCGACAAGCCGGTTTCCAGACGGCTTTATGTCTGTCTGTGTATTCGAACTTTTGGGGGTGGGGGTTGAAGGTGAGAAGAACCAATGGGAGGTGCCTCGTTGCGCCTGCGCGTTCGCCATCTTGCTGGCGGCTCACTTTTCCAGTGACAAGCGAACAGAGAGAGAGAGGGGGAGGGGAAGCCGGGGACGGGGACGGGGTCGGGTTGGGCCTTCGTCACCGACAACCAGCAGGGCTGGGAGAGGAAGGCTCCAAACTGTCCTATAGAGACAACCCGAGGGGGGGGGGGGGGGAAAAAAAAAAAAAACAAGCTCGGGTAGCGCTTTTTGTGACCACTTCTCCCACCCCCCCAACAAAAAAAATTAACAATTCCGCCCCGACAGAGATTAATATATTTTATTTGAATGATGCGGTGAAACGGTTCATCCCGCCACCCAGCTTCAGTCAGAGAGAGAGAGAGAGTGTGTGTGTGTGTGTGTGGGAGCCGGCATCTGGCTTTGGTAGTAGTGAGGCGGGGTGGGGGAAGAGACACTCCTCCTCCGGTCAGAGAGAGAGAGAGAAGGGGAGGCCGGGGCCTGCAGGTGGGTAAGGTCCTGCAAGTCCCGGGGAAGACCGTGTGGTCCGGAGTTAAAGCCGAGAGGGAGAGGGAGAGGGGTGGGTGTGTGAGCGGAGGACAAGCCGGGGCGGTGTGATGAGGGGCAGGAGGTGGTGTCTGCTCTGAGAGAGGAGGCTGGGTAAAAGGGGTTTAGTGTGTGTGTGGTTTTTTTTGGGGAGGCGGGAGGTGTGTGGGGGAGTGGGCGGGGAGCTCACACACACACACACACACACCGGCCGGTGACCGGCTGATCCTTTTCCCCTGGGTACCAGCCGGCTTGACAGGTCCGGCTCTCATTCCCATTCCCCGCACACACCCACCTCCTTGTCGCATTCACTTTGGGGGGAGCTGTCCATCTATTTTTGGGAGGGTTTTTTTTTTAAAAAGTATTTTTTTGTTGTTTCTCTCTCTCTCTCTCTCTCCGCCCCCCTCTCCTTCCCCTCCCCTCCCATTCCCCAATGCCATGATGCACCAGTCGGAGAGCGCGGCGGACAGGAAGATGGCGCACCCGCTCTACCCCCGGCGGAGCGGCACTAACCACCCGCCGCCGCCTCCGCCTCCTCCACCGCCTCCTGCGGCCGCCGCCACGCCAGGCCCAGGCTCCGGCGGGGCCTCGCTAGGCAGCCTGATGGGGCAGCCGGCTCCGACGCGCCCGCACCCGGACGACGCTCTGCGCTCGCCGGCCCTGGCGGCGTGCTCCGGGCCCGGTGCCGGCTCGGTGCCGGCCCCGCCGCAGACTCTCAGCCTCCACGGAGCCGGGACCGTACCTCTTTCTCCTGCTGCCGCCGCTGCTGCTGTCGCCCCCGCCGGTCCCGGCTCGATGGCCGGGTCCCAGATGAAGAAGAAGAGCGGCTTCCAGATCACCAGCGTGACCCCGGCGCAGAACAACGCCGGCTCCAACAACAGCATCGCCGAGGACACCGAGAGCTACGACGACATGGACGAATCTCACACCGAGGACCTCTCGTCCTCCGAGATCCTCGACGTCTCCCGGGCCACCGACTACGAGCCGGAGCGCAGCTCGTCCGAGGAGACCCTCAACAACGTGGGCGACGCCGAGACCCCCAGCGCCCTGTCTCCCAACCAGCCTCGCCTGCCTCCCCACCAGCCGGCTCTCTTCAACGGCAGCATCCACGGCCTCCATCCGCCCCCGGCTCACCACCACCACCCGAGCCATCACCACCACCACCACCACCATCCCCTTCACCACCACCACCCTGCCATGCTGGCAGGCCCTGGGATGGCCAGTGCTGCCCCTTCAGGAGCGGGGATGGTCCCTCCTGGCAACGTGACCACAAGCACAGAGAAAAATGGCACCAGTGCACCCATGCCCGGATTAGTGAGTGGTTCGGTTGGGGCACCGGTGCCTCTGGCTTCCAACATTGGCACCGTGGTGAATGCTAGAACTGTAAGTGGCATGGGGAGCAACGCGAGCGTTGGTGGGACAAGTGTTGGTGCCAGTGCTAGTGTTGTGGGTGGTACCACCGGCGTTATCGGGGCTGCGTCCAGTACTGTGGCTTCTACCAGTGCGGCAGTAACACAGCCAGCAGCTGGCAGCTCCAGGTTCAGAGTGGTGAAACTGGATTCTAGCACTGAACCTTACAAGAAGGGTCGTTGGGTTTGCACTGAGTTCTATGACAAAGAAAACGTCACTGTTCTCACCGAAGGCGCCTCCGTGAACAGGACGCTGGACAGTGTAAAGCAAGCTTCTGTCACTGATGCAAATCTGGACGGGCAGAGTACCGGTGGAGGGAGTTCGGTAAGCGGCACCTTGAGTGCAGTGGGTTATTACATTGAAGCCGCTGGTAATGGGGAGCCGGGGTTGATTTCTGCCCCTCAGCAGCAAGCTTTTCAAGCACTGTGTAGTCAGCAGTTGGATTTTAGCAGTGGTGGCCCTCTGGTACAGAGTGTTTCCCAGCCACAACTCTCACAGGCCCAGCTCCATTCCCAAGATGTTATACATTCGCAGCAGAAGCCAAGTGCTCCGCTCTCTGGTCGAGCAGGAATCAGTAGTGTTCAGCAGACCCCAATTCAACAGCAATTACCATATTCTCAGCAACAGCAGCCTTCGCAGACCCTGTCAGCTGGGTCCCAGCTACAGCAACTATCGTATCCTCAGCAACAGCCAGCTTCACAGATGACAACACAACATATTATGTCATCAAATACAAGTGCTGTCATTACAGAATATGTGCAGCACCCTCAAATGCAGCCCTCTGCACAGCCCATGCAGCAGAGCAGTGGTGGGCTTGGAGTAGCAGCCGCACCGTCCGGCCAACCACAACATGTTCAAGGCCAAGCACAGTCTGTTTTAGCACAAGCACAATCTGGACAGACACCAGGTCAGCCTGTAGGACATCTTTCAGCAAAGATGCCACCTACTGGTGCTGCCAATGGGCAGCTGGTAACTGGTCAGCAAGGGAATACAATCTCTTTGCTACAACAGTCATGTCCGCCATCAATTAACAAGTCAACGCCGATCGGTTTGCAACCAAGTGCTCCTCCAACTGCTCCAGCGCAGCAGTTAGGGCAGCCTCTGCAGGCTGGGATGGTACAGCAGCAGGCCAGCATATCAGGGCTTGTGCAGCAGGTAACTGTGGCACCACCAAAACAGCAATTGCCATCGCAACCACAAGGTCAAGGGGTCGAGTGTATTATTCAAAGCGTGAACAATCAGACGATAACTGGAATAAGTTCTACACCATCTACTGTTAATACCAATCTTCCCAATGTTGGATCCAATGTGTCTACTAGTATACCAACTGCACCTGCAAACGCTGTTCCGCAACAAACCACTACGCAGACCTCCGTGCAGAACAGTTTGATCCAGAAAGCCAGCCAGCCTTCTGTACCAGCAAATGCAAGCCTCCCTGTGGTACAAGCAGGGCCACAGAAAATGGTGCCTGGCTCTGCCCACTACTCCACTCCCATCCAGTCACTGTTGAATGCAGTGGAAGATTCACGGCGACCTGCAGACCAGCCAGCTCTGCATGTAGAACAGGTAGCTATTGGAGAAAGCGTACTGAGTGCAGCCTCTGCTCTGGTTCAGGAAATTGCCAGCAGCGCCAACCTACCTGCTTCTGCATCGCTGCTTCCTTTAAAGACCTTACCATTGTCCATGCAACCTGTGGATGGTGAAGATGACAGGTAAGGGTAGGCTTTGTCAAGGGTCATCAAGTGTTCTTTGTTAACAAAATAGTGTAAGATCCATGTTCGAATATCACACTTTTACAGGAACCTAGCGTGATTCATTTTTGATACATTTTGAACTTCTAATTATTTGAATTGTGACTGTTGTTCATATGTTCCAAACGGTCATACGTTTTCACAGTGGCAATTCCAACATGCCTGTGTTTATTTAAAAATTTTCTTTTGAGCTACTTAACTGCACACTTGACGTTATCCCAAGTGAACATGGCTTCTCTTTCTCTTCTGTAGACATAACTTTTTTGCAGGTTCTTAAATTAACTGATACTTGATAAAAGTAACCTCCGAAGTTCTGCAATTAAGAAGATAACGTAGCCAAAGAGAGAATAAGAATGTAAAAGCTTCTATGACATAGTCAAAACATGAACATTAAATTCTTATTTATGTAATTTCAAAACACAGAAGAAAGGCTTATAATCTTTCCTTCATCTTGCAGATTTTGTGGTAAGGATTAGTTGTCAGACACTTAACCCCATTGCAGTTGATTGGTGTGGGATAGGAAAATGGAGAAAAAGTTGAAAAACAGCAGGACATACCAAGAGATCATGCACGGCTGAAGTATTCCTTCAATGGAATGGTTTAAGTTCTGAAAGGTTTAAGTTCATCTTGTTCAGTGAGAGCTGTTCACCTTTGCACTTGTGCCACTGAATGATACTCTGTGCTTAATACTGTCTAAGTAATTTGCTTTGCATGGAGCACTGCCATTAAAGAACGAATTTTTGTATTCTTAGTTGCCAATTTGCAGAGAACGTTTTTTCATCAAAATTAGGATTAAAAAGGAAAGCATTGCCTTACAGGCATTGTACTCAAAATAGTTTAGGACATGACATTTGACCCATGCAGAATATGAGCTGAATGCTGCGTACTGAATTAGCCGGTTGTTTGGCTTATCTCTCCTGCGTTGCTTTGGAATAGTGTAATGCTATAGCACTCAGAACAGGGGACTTCGTCCCATCTCCCTTTTCATTGGAGTTTGGCATGGAACGGCTGCCAAAAAGATGCCCCGTGCCAAGGTTTATACAAATGCTTAACAGATGGTTGATGGATTCAGATAAAAAGATGACTGCCAAAGATAGTGTGAACTGAAAGCTCCTGGTATATGAATACAGTCTTTTCCTTTGTTTTTTTGTGAATTACCAGTATCTGTTTCATTTTGTATGTTTGCTACTGAAAGTACAGTACATATTTTGATCTAGGTATATAAAACAACCTCTATATTAAAAACTAAAATATTACAATATAAGCTGTAATTCCATTCCTTCAATATTTGTTAAATATGTTTGATATGAATGAATTATGCACAAATGAAGTCTGCCTGTATTTTCACATGAACCCCCATGCCCTTTAAAACATTCCCATTTGCATTAGCAAATACATGTTGTATGTGCATTTGTTTTGGGAGACCTTGAGGCTTTACTTTTAAAGAGATAGTGCAAATTAAATTTGCACTATGTAAAGATAGCTGGAAAGACCCCTTTTTTTTTGTTGACTAGGTAGATATGTGTACTGTTAGGTATGGCACTCGGGTAGCGTGAATCAGTCTCTTGGTAACATTGAGCTAATGGATCTTAACTGAGCAGTAGTTAAGGCATTGGTGTTACTGGGCTATCGAGAATGTGGGAATCACCCAAGAGTTCGTTCTATTTCTGTTCAGTCATCTCTCCTGGAGACTGTTGTATTAGACAGCACAGCAGGGTTACGGTGTCTCTTTCATGCCTACCCCTTCAATTTCTTGGATTCACTTGAATTGGGGAGGTCTGTTTGAAGGCAGCAAAATATCATCCCAGCATAAATTGCTGCCCAATGGGGTGGAGATGGGGGTTGTGCAGACTGTGATAAGGGAATTTGTAAGTTTTCAGATACCACTGTTCATTGCCCTGCTTAGAAATGGAAACTGATTTTGGGATCTCTGCAAAAAGCGTTAAATCCATCATGTTCTGATATGTAAAAGTTTATACTAGTTTGTAGTGATATGATGGGATTTGTTTATGTTTACTATAATCATGATTAACATGATAAGTGTCTCATTTCCTTTTCTCTCTCCAGCTCGTTCCCACCCCTCTAATTATTTTAATCTTTAGTTCACTCTTATCCTTAAAGTTCTGACAAAGGAACCAGCAACATGGACACATGTGAATTTTCACCTCTTTCTTCCTGTAGAATGTTTTGGAATGTACAATGATCCATCTTTTATTTTGATAGAAACTGGTTTCCTTTTGGGCAGCCTTGGAAAGAAGGAAAACTATTTTTTGTTAAGCGCTTTGCAGTGTTCGAGTTAAGTCCTAGTACGTCTAGACATTTGCCCCTGTTTCAGGAATTTAAAGGTACTCCTTGAAATAATGTGAATTGTATTTGATTCGCAACTCCTAAAGAAAACCCTTTGAGGTACTGGTAACATACAATATTTCTGTGAATTGCTGGAATGTGTATAAGGAATGGACTCTTAGACATTAAGGAACCAAATTGGCAGGCTGTTGTGGATTTAGTTTTGTGCAGTGAAAAGGGGTTCATTAATCTTATGAGAAGTCCCTTCAGAAAAAGTGACCACAATATTAGGAAACTGTTCATTGCGGTAGAAAGTGAAGTAGCCCAATCCAAAACAGGAATTCAAAACCTAAAGAAAATCTCCGAAGCTCTGACTGATGAGTTGGCTGTGTTAGAGCAAGTTCATGATAGTGGACACTATGGTTAATATTTGAGGAGCGAGTGCATGTGATGCAGCAATTATGCATTCTTTCCAGGCAAAACGACACAACCAGAACAGTGGCCCAACCATGGTTAACAAGATGAATTAAGGATGGTGTTAGATCCAAAGAGGAGTTGTTCAAAGTTGCCTGGAAAGGTAGCAAGCCTGAAGACTGGGAGCAGTTTAGAATTCAGCAAGGCCAAGAGGTTGATTGAGGAGGGGGAAAAGAGAATATGAGAGAACTTGAAAGGAAATATAGTAGGCAGTAAGAACTTTAAAAATTGTGGAAAAGGAAATAATGAAGACAAATGCTGGTGCCATACAAATTGAAGTGGGAGGATTGATAATGAAGAACAAGGAAATGGAGTAATTAAGCAACTACATTTGCCACATCTTCTCTGAAGACAACGCAAAAGACTTACCAGACATGTTAGGGAAGCAAGGGTCTTTCAGCAAGGAGAAATTGAAGGAAATTAATAAACAAGGAATGCTTGAAAGAAGAAATGGGTGTGAAGGCTATAAATCTGTAGGGCCTGATAACGTACGTCTCAGGGTACTAAAGGAGGCAGCTAAGAAATAGTGGGTGCATTGCTTGTTATCTTTTAAAATTCTGTAGATTTCTGAACAGTCCCAGTGGAGTGCAGTGTAAATGTAATCCCACTGAAACTAGAAATTGTAGACCAGTTAGCCTAATGTCACCTAGTAAGGAAAATACTAGAGTCTATTATAGGTATTACACAAAGCTGTTAAATTTGTGAAAGGAAAATCATGTTTGATAAACCTATGGATTTTTTTTTTCGAGGACATAACAGATGTGGAAGAACCAGTGAGCGTATTGTATTTGGAAATTTTAGAAAAGTTTTCATAAAGTTCCATAAGAGGTTATTATGCAAAATTGAGTATATGGGATTGATGGCAATATGCTGGCATCAATTGAGAATTGGTTAGTAGAGAGAAAACAGGAAAAACAGGGTTGTTATAAGTGGAAGGTCATGACAAGCAGAGTACCATAGGGATCAGTATTTGGTCCCGTTCTATCAACAATGTATATCAAAGATTTTAGATGAGGGAGTTGAGTGTAATATATCCAAGTTTGCTAATGGCACAAAAAAATTAAGTGAATGAATTGTGAGGAGAATGTAAAGATGCTTCAGGGCAATTTAGACAAGTTGAGTGAGTTGGCAGATACATGGCAGATGCAATATAATGTAGATAAATGTAAAGTTGACTACTTTGGTAGGAGAAACAGTGATACGTTTTAAATGTAATAGCTTGCAGGCTGTACAAAGAAACCTGAGAGTCCTTTTACACTGGTTTATGAAAGTAAGCATACAGGTGCAGCAAGCATTTCGGACTGCAAATGACGTGTTGGCCTTCATTGCAAGAGTGTTTGAGAAGAGGCGCAAGAACATGTTGCAGTTGTACAGATGGTGAAGCCATCTGAAGTAATGTGTGCAGCTTTGGTCTCCTTACCCAAGAAAAGATGTACTTGCCATTGAGGGAGTGCATTGAAGATTCAGCTGACTGCTGGGGTAAGAGGTTTGTCGTGTGAGGAGAGATTTAGAAGAATGAGGGGGTCTCATTAAAATGTATACAATTCTGTCGGGGCCGGACAGACTGAATGCATGGATGATGCATGACTTGGGGGTGTCCAGAACAAGGAGTTGTGGTTACAGGATATATGGTAGGCCATTTTGGACTGATGAGAAATTTCTTTACTGATGGTGGTGAACCTGTGAAATGCTGTATGGTAGAAGGCTGTGATGGCAATGTCACTGAATATATTTAAGAAAGAAGTAGATTTCTGGTGGATAAAGTTGTCATTGTCAACGTGTATGGAGAAAGCCTGAATATGGCTTTGAGTTAGAGGTTCATGAATAGCAGAGCAGGCTAGATGTGCTGAATGGCTTACTTTTCTTTTCCTGTTTCTACGTTACTGACTAAGAAATGAACATTGCGTATCTCTTGCTATTACCTAAACCTGAAAATCACGCCTTTGCAGCTAATGAAAGTGAAAATTAAGATAGAATTACAGTTACTGGGAAATTAAATTGTTGATGAAATATTAGAAGCTGATGCGATTGTTAGTGCAATCCTTAAATTTAGCTCAAATGCAAATAGCTAGGCATGTGAAATTGACTTTAGGAGGGAATATGTCTCAAAACAGAAATTTCTGACCCTGGTTTGACACACTAGAATTTTTTTTGCACGAGTATTAACCTATAAAGATATCACTTGCAAATTTGTTTACCTCAAGC